ACGCTTCTTCGTAGTGATTTTCGCTACTTCCATGCGCACCGCGCTCATCTGTCGCTGAAATGGACTCGGCTAAATGGACGGCGGCGTGACTTTTGCGACCAGGATAAGAAGCCCTCGGCTTCTTCCCCGCCTTGAACGTCGACGGCGTCTGAATCGTGACCTTCTTGGTCTTCTTGTCCTTAGCGCGGCTCGCCGAGCCATGCGCCTTCGCGTAATTCACTAGTCTCAAAAATGAAACGTCCCGATTGTCTTGCCGGTATTGAGATACCATCGGCTTGATACTCGAATCGAGTCCTTCAATAAACATCGTCATTTGTTCTTCCATCGAATATACGTTTCCACATCGATTGCTCGCGTCCGTCAGACGGATATAAAATTCCATCTCGTCTTCAGACGGTCTTTGCTGAACTTCTCGCAATGCGAGCACAGCTTGACGGATCGCTTCGTCGGTTGCGAAACTCCTCAACAACCACTGTACGGCCTCCGGCCAAACGGATATCTTTCCGTGATGGGCCCCGGCCGTCTGAGACACCGAAGTGTACTGTCTCAAGGCGATGCCGCTTAAAAATTCAGGCAACAGGCGGATCGCTTGCCCCTCGTTCATTTCTTGAGTATCGAACTCTTGAACTAATTTTGCCAAAAAATCCAACACAAGGACCCCGTCCTCTCCTGTGAACGTGTTGTCCTTCTTCACCTTAGGCTGAATATCTCTCCTAATTTTTCGCACGGCGGTCCGCCGGGAACTTGAAAAATATGTCTGCGGGTTCCGCAAGCGGTACGTTCGGTACGAAAGTAACTTCTTGAAGAGGTAGTTGGTCGGATTCAGCTCCTCCAACTCCTCCCATCGCGGCCCGCGCCGCGTTGCGACATCTTCGGGCTCCGCGTCCTTGTCTCTCCGCGAGGCGGACGAAGTGACTCCGCCTCGTCTGGAGGAATTTTCTTGCTTGACGAAAGTCCATTTCCGTCTTCTGAACGGCGTTCGAAATCGCCCGAATGGTTCGACGAACCGCCGTTACCATCTTCGGAGGGACCAAGCGACTCCGACTGTGAGTCGCGGTTCTCCGGATCGTCACTACAGTGACCCTTGCTTGTACGTCGCTTGTCCTTCTTCGAGGGCTTCGACTTGGAACTCCGCTGCCGAGCGGGCTTGTCCTTCTTCGACCGACGGTCGCCCTCTCTACCCGAAGGGAGCGGCTCGTCGTCCGATCCTTGCGGAGCTTGATCCGCGGCCTGCTCAAGGTCCTTGAGACGTTGCGCGGCGCGATCGAATCGGTCATCGATGCTTGCTCTGAATTTTCCTAAGGACTCCAAGGCTTGATTCGCGTCGCGCCTCGCGTCCTTGACCGAAATTTTCAACGAGGCGAGGACCTCCGGTTCCAGACCGTCGGTCGCATCTCCTCGCTCCTTCTCGACGAGATCCACTCGAGCCGACAGCTCTCCCAAAACGGTGTGGAACTCGGATCCTTGCAACTCCAGTTGCTTCCGGACGAGGGCTAATTCAGCCTCGAGATTTTTCGTCATCTCTTGGCGAATTTCCTCGCCCATCTTCTCGAACCTGTAGGATAGGTTATCCTTGTCGGTTTCAATCCCCGTCGGGGATTCTTGATCTCCAGGGTCCGTGGCCGTATTGGCCTGGCTCCGGGTGCGAGGACCCCTCGGGATCCTCGACGCTCGTGCCGATCCGGCTCTGCTCGCCCCGGGACCGACGTCCCCGGGTACGCTTGTTGACATCGCTCGTACGAGCGGACCTACGCAGCAAAAAAGTTACAAACAAAAAGAAAATAAAGAAAGAGTCCGTTACCCAGACCACTTGTGTAGAGCGTCTCCTGACCTGGACTTTCGTAGGCAAAATTCTTGATCAGGTCTCCTGCACAGTAAACAAAAATTCTAGGTCGGGAGACCACTTTTGTAGTGTGTCTCCAGACCGAGACTGTCGTCGACAAAAATTCTAGGTCGGGTCTCCTGAACAGTAAACAAAAATTCTAGGTCGGGAGACCACTTTTGTAGTGCAATGCGCCTGTCGGGCAGAGACCGCGGTCCGATGGTCCAGCAAAAACAACAACAGCAACAAAAAGAAGAACTGCCGATGGCACAGCGCTACGGAGTGTCCGACTCTCCCTTCTCCGTTTAAACGAGCTTGCGACTCGTAGTAGCTCAGATCCCTGATGGGGGGGGGGGCACAGAGAAATAGCCCGGCCCGGGATCGGTGTGGTAGAGACTTGCGAAGAGATCTGCTCGACGAGTGTGGAGGGGGGCGCGTACGTAGGTACCCCGGTTCCACTGAGTTGTAAGGCCAATGCTCGTTGAGCTTCTTCGACACCTTGTAACGCGACAAGGCCCTCGACGGGGGAGTCGCAACGCAGCCCGACGGGATGAAATGAAAGTAGCAGCGCTACGTCAACCGTGCCGCCCGATGGCTCGAAACACCTACACCGGTTCGGTCGCAACCGACACCGATGGTACCAACACTGGCTCGTAATACGACGGAGCCCTTCGAGGGAGACGTCGTTGCAACAGTCTCCGTCGGAAAATGGGTCACAGTAGCAGCGCTACGTCAACTGTGTCGCCTGATGGCTCGAAACACCTACACCGGTTCGGTCGCAACCGAGGCCGATGGCACCAACACAAGATAAGGGAAAAATAGGTAGAATTAGAGATAGAAAAGGATAGGGAAATAAAGGAAAGAGAAAAGGGAACCCCGAGCGATAGAGGATGCCGTAGGCTTAGGTAAAAGGGAGCGTCTTGGTAGAGACGGACTTCGACCAAGGCGACATTCAACTCCGGCAACTCGGGTTGGTTTATTGACTTGTTCGGTCAAAGGGCTAAGTTATATAGAGCCCCGCCGGGGCGAGTACAGTAGCTCCCGGCTCTAGATTCTATATCTAATCTAGTGTCAGCAAAATTAATGCCAACTAATTAACTAAATAAAATAAAATAATTAAAAATTAAAACTGTGCAATTATTCACACGTGTGTCCCCCAAACCCGGACTACTTTTCATATCCAAATATTTTCCTTTCTTTTCACCCCCCTTTCCAGGTGCGTATTGCACTACAGCGACTCCCACGGAGGTGGGCGCTGCGTACCGCGCGGCGGCGCTCAAGCACCACCCGGACCGCGGCGGGAACGGCGCCGCGTTCGCCGCCGCGCGCGACAGCTACGACGCCATCCTGGCCGCGCCGTGCGCTGCGTACCACCCGGCGTCGCTGCGCTCGTACCGCCACGCCGCCGCTGCCAACTGTGGCGGCATGTGGGGCATCCTCGGCGCCAGCGTCGTCCCGTCGGCCGTCGGCCTCGCCGTCGGCGTCAGGCTCATGTACACCGGCAACGAGAGGAGCGGGCTCAGGGCAGGCGGCACCAGCAGGGTCGCCTCGCCGGATGATAACCCCGTCCAGATCTCCGCTTCGTTTAGCCCCCATCAGCCCGCGCCGCGCGACACCGCTTAGCTAAACCTACTCTGCACACACACAGTGAACGTGCCTGTCGAGGCTGCAAACCCGCTCCGGACTACCACCCGTCCGCTCGTGCCGACCTGCGTCCTCAACGCTTCCCCCACTAGCGATACCTCGCTTCGCTCCACCGCCGACATTTTCATTCCGTTGTACTCCACCCAGAGACGTACCGCGTCCACGCCCTTTGCTGTGTCCACAATTAGGTCGCCTTCCGTCATGCTTGTTATCTGTTTCGGGGAAAACGTGAAGAGGTCGTATTCATGGAGCACCACTGCCGCACTGCTGGGTGACATCCTGTATTGGAAGAGGGGGAGCGACACCCGTTCTTCCCTGGGCCAGTCAGAGTACAGCGCGCTCAAGCTGCGGTGATGCAGCCCCTGTACCTCGTCAATTGCCCCAAATGATCGCTGCATTGTATCTTTCGGGAAGCAGATCGCTTGCGCTATCACTCGTGCTGTCCCTGGCACCATCACCGCGTTTGCCGAAAGCACGTCCGCGAGAACGTTGCGTTGTATGATCAGGTTGCAGTGTTGACAACGGATACGATGACATGGCCCGTGTGAACGGCTCGGACATCACCACTTCCAAACCGCTATAGTCGGACTTGTCCTGCTTTTGCACGTTCTCTGCTTCCACAGGGGATGATAGGGGCGTGTACTCCATGTATATTGCATGCGACGTCTCCGTCGCTTGATGTGCCACCACTTGTCTGTACAGTAACGCCGAGAATTCACTGTCTTCCTCGATAGAGACGATTTCTATGGCCTTGTTCTTGTACGCCACTTTGCTCGCCAGCAGCGCACAGATTCCGCTGTCACTGATGTCTATACAGCGAAGTGGCCGAGCCACCTTGGCTTCATTCTCCTTCATTCCCTTTCCACTGGAGCCTGCCTTCTCCATGGCCTTTTTTATGTTTAATTTTAAAGAAGCCAGCCAGTTTGCGTCGCCTAATTCATAGATGCGGTACGGACCACCCGGCAATATATGGTACCCACAGGTACATGTATCTGGCGCGCTGCTATCCAGCCCATGTAAATGAGAATGACATCCGGTCGTGTCGCATGGTTATTGGAATCCTCTCATCGTTTGACGCTGCACCTTGCGTTGCCAGCATGGGATTGAAAACAGTCAGCCAATGATCCTGCCAGTTCTCAACCCCAGGTTTTTTTGAGTAGACAGCTTCTCCGTTTCCTGTAAGGTCCAGTTCCCACCACGTCACAATCGTGTTTGGCGTCCCATTCCGGATTCGCCGTATGTAGCGACTTTGCTTCCTCTCGCTGCATTCTTCCAGACCTTGAGACTCAAAATCGAAGCTGAACAACTCGACAGCTTCAGTCAAAAATTCGTAGTCTTTTCCTTCTTCCAGTGCTTCCATGTGAAGCGAAAGGCCTTGGCCCCTCCCCTAGCAGTCTTTCGCATTTTCACTGCGATGAAAGGGGAACGTGCTCCCGAGCCTATTGAAATTTGCACAAAATTCGTTTTGCAGAACCGCGCCATAAAGCGCGGCTTTAGCGGGTATTACAGTAGCGTTCTCTCTAAGTGGATTCTTTCATGCATGGGAGATTGTCTCGAGGCAATTTTCTCGGAGCAGAGCACTATCAAAAACCTCGGTAACAAGAGCATCAGCCCTCTTAGGCAGCGCGAGATCTTTCGCTTGGAAGTCATCTTGTGGCGCATGAAAATCAGTTGAGGCGCCGACGTGCACTGATATTTTGTCTTGCATTTGGTTCTCTTCTACAACTCGTGTTGCCAGGTTAGCCAACGGCTGGAACAGCTCTACTGCATCCACATGTTTCGCACCAGCACGAGCTGCTAACATCGCTAGCAATCCAGTCCCAGTCCCGATGTCTAAAACCCTACTCTCAGGCCGCTTTTGCAAAGCGCGAGACAATGCCTCCGCATACTTTGCGCATCTGTCGTTGTCATTGAGCATTGAGGTCATTTGAGAGAGCTTGATGGCATTCGTCATTGCATCCTGATTCGTCACTCCACACTCTTGCGTCACCATAAACCCTCCATGGTAAGGATTCGGAATCGCACGGAAAATGACAAGGTTACCAGACTCGTCTGCGGTCACCAAAGTTTCGTTCAATGCAAGCTGTTGTACAGCATTCACGACGCCAACTTCTGGCATGAGGCTTCTTCCGCCTCCAGCGAGGGCTCCATCAAATCTATCCCCCATTTAAGGTATGTGACCAATGTCTCGTTGAGGACAGCGGGCGCACGGCGGTTGGGATAAACGATACCGTCTTCCCGGCTGCAGCTGATGCAGGTGCAGTCAAACACTTTCTCGAAAACTGAGATATGATTTCAAGCTGCATAGCGCGGTTCCCTGGTCACATCAGCCTCTTCCTGCGCTCACAAATTTGCATCATCTGATGAATCGTAATCCTCATGGGGGTGTCTTTACTCGTCGTCGCCGTCTCGTGGGTCTAAGTACCGCTGGTGACAGACTGTAATGCTGACAGTCTGTCCTTGCGGTCGGTCACGCGCGCACCTGTCAGCGTCTGATGAAGAGAGTTGCGGTCCGTCAGTCCCGGGGGACGCTGAGGGGTGCGCGTGAAGGTTGTGCCGGGGTGCGCTTTCGGATCGGGGCTGCGGGGCTCATTTGGTTGGATGATTTTGCAGATTTCTTGAAAGCGGATGGGTCCGAGCGCTTTTGTGAATAGGTCTGCTGGGTTGCCCGCGGATGGGATGTGTTGCGCGATGATAGCGGCGCCTTGGATGTGATGTTGAAGGTGGTGGTGCCTGACATCGATGAGCTTCCTTCTGCGCGTGGGGGCGGAATTTTCCGCGACTTGTATGGTCGATTGGTTGTCGATGAATACTGTCGTGGGGTGCTGTTGTGGGTGCTTCATGTCCCGAAGCAGCCGACGAAGCCATAGCGTCTTCTGGGCGGCGAGCGAGGCTGCTATGTATTCAGCCTCGCAGGTTGACAGGGCTACGCCGTCTTGTGGCGCCGATGTCCAGGCTATCGGGGAGTGGCCGATAGTGTGTATTATGCCTGTGAGCGACTTGCGGCTTTTGGCATTTGCATAGTCTGCGTCACTGTATGTGCGCAGACATATCGGGGCTCGAGCGTGATACGAGATGGCCTTGCTCTTGGTGCCCTCGAGATATCGCAGGAGCCATTTGAGCGCGTGCCAATTTGCTTGGCTCGGTTGCTTGCTGTGTCGCGTCAGCTGGTTGGTGGTGTGGTATGCGTCGTAGCGAGTGCTGTCGACGACATACCGGAGGTCTCCTAGAATGGAGCGGTAGTGGTTGGCAAGCGTGGGGGATAGGTGCGCTGTTTGGTTCTCTACGTTCTTGTTTGGCTTTTGCGGCGCGGGGGTTGTTTTTGGATTGCATTCCGACATGTTGTGTTTTGCAAGTATCGTGCTTATGGTCTGTTCTTGCGAGATGTGGATGCTTCCTTGTGCGTCGCGTGTTATTTGCCATCCGAGGTACAAATGAGGGAAACCGAGATTTTTGATGTTGTAATTTTGCTTGAGGGCGGTGAGTAGTTCATTGATGAGTGCTTGGTTTGAAGCGGTGACTAGGAAGTCGTCCATGCTTACAGCGAACAGCAGTATGCCCGTTGTGTGTGTTTTGGTGAATAGACATGGATGGCTGTCGCATTGCTGATAGCCTCGCGTGGTGAGGTGTTTCTGAAGGCCGGCGCTGTAACGGTGGCCGGCGGATCGGCCCTCATATAGGTTGCCTATTAGTTGTCCCGCTTTGGTGCCGTGCTTGAGGTTGCCGTCGAATCGGGGGAGCTGTCTCACATAGATGGGGAAGCGGGGGTCATGTGTCTCGTGTAAGTACGCAGCCGTGATGTCCATGTACTGTAGAGGCCATCTGTGTGATGCGGCGATTGCTACGATTGTGCGCACTGACGTTTTCTCTGCCATGAAAGTGCACGTTTGTTTAGGATCGAAGTGTTTGCCTGTCTGCATGCGGTCGCCTCGTATGGAACAGCGTGCCTTTCGTTTTGCTATTTTTCCTGTTGGTGTACGTTTGTATCTGTACGTCATCGTGAGGGGTATGAGTTTTTCGTGCGGGGGCACGTCTGATGGCGGTATCCATTTTATCGTGGTCTGTTGGTCCAGCATGTCTAATTCAGCGTTGTGTGCGGTCTCCCATTCTGCCGCGTCCGGGTACTGCCGTGCTGCGTGGGCATGGCGTGGTGCTGTTGTGGTTTGGTCGATGGTTCGTGGTGGTGGTATGTATCGGTGCTTGTTGTTGCTTTGTGCTCGAGGTTTGGGTTTTGTCAGTTTGGTTTTGAATGCGTGCGTTGACGTGTGTGTGGGATCCCGGTGTCGTGAGTATGGTTTGAAGTCGATCGCTCGGATGACCCTGTATCGCGCACTGTTTATCGTGATGGTCATGATGTGCGTTTCCGATGTTGGGAACATGTATCGGACGGGTTCGCTGCGAGCTTGGAGTTTGGTTTTGTGTGCGTGAATTGGTGCCGTTCCGATTTGCCCGAAGGCGAAGATGCGTGTCATGCGCGCTGGTCAGCCGTGCCAAAGGCTCCACGGGCTTTTTTTGGTGACGCTGTGTCTCATTATGTTGTAGTTGAAGACAACATCGCGTACTGCGCCCTCCCAAAATTGGGGTGGTAGTGACGCGTGATGAAGTGCTGCTCTGGCACTTGTGAACAGCGTTTTGTTGATTCTTTCGGCAATAGAATTTTCTTGTGGCTGGTGGGGGGTGTTGGTTATATGCTGTATGCCGTGAGATTGATATGTGCTTTTTGCGTGCGTCGATGTGAATTCTTTAGCGTTGTCTGTCCTGTACGCCTGGGGGAGTTTGTTTTGTAGGGACAACGTGTGGAACAACTGCAGTATTATGGCGTTCACTTCTTGTCTCTTGCAAATGTAGTAGGTGACCAGGTATCTGCTGGCCGTGTCTATGCAGGTGAATATATGTGCATTTCCGTGTGTTGACGGGGGCGTGATGGGGCCGCATGTGTCTGAGCTGAGTTGCTCTGCGATTTGTTGTGAGTGGTGTGCGGTTGGGTGCGGCCGGGGAGATTGTCGAGCGTGCGCACATGAGGAACAGCTGATGGGTGGGGGGCGCCTTGGAGGCTGGCTGGGAAGTTGGTGATGGTTCCTTCCTGTGCCATGCGTTGGAGCGCTTTGGGCGGGGAGTGGTTGAGGGTGAGGTGACACTCGTACGCGGTTGCTGTGGTTTTTGTCAGTTGTTTGGGTGTGTGTGGATTGGGGTCGTGGAAGTGTTGTATTTTTGGCGATCGGGTTTTGGTGGGTGTGCGATTTGGCAATAGGTGTGCTGATTTTGTCGCTGATCGGGGTGGGGTGGCCTGTGCTGTGGCCGTTGGTTGCTTGGTCGTCGTGCGGTTGTTGGCTCGTGGTAGCATGGTGCGTGCACTTTTGGCTGTGTGTCGGGTGGTGCTTTTTCGGGGTGACCAGGCATAGGCGTGCAGTGATTTATTCTATGGAGCCGTGCCGATGACTTTGTTTTGTCTGTCCCTGATGTGTGCCGTATTTCTGTCAAATGTGACCGTGCATTTTAGTGATGCTAGAGCGTGGAAAGATACTAGTGTGTATGGAATGTTCGGGCTGTGTACTGCTTTGAGGCGTAGGGGGTACCCCTTATTGGTATATGTCTGAATGGTGCCGGCGTGGGTGCATTTCGTGGGTTGGTTAGTTGCTGTGAGAGATTTTGTGAGATGGGCGAGGAGCTTCATGTGTGGTAGGGGGCGGGATGTGTGCGTGGGATGCGCTGCCGAGTCTAGGATGAACGTACCCGCCTCGCCTTGATGGTGGTCGGGTTCGGTGTCGGTGTCGTCCATGTTGAGCTCACTGTAATGCGCGTCGTCTGGTTCGAGAATGGCTCGTGCCTTGGCGGCGGGTCGCCGACGTGCTGTCTTTTGATTCTGCGGATGATTTTGGTCTCGACATTCGCTGTCCGCGTGTTGCGGGTTCCTGACGCCCTTTGAGATGTGATGGCGGCAGGGGTTGGTGTGTTTTGTGGCGGGTCGGCGTATTTGGCGGGGTTGGGGGCGGCGCCCGTGGGTTGGTAGGTACGCTCGTGGGCTGGTTGCTGCTTGTGGCCAAGGGTTGCTTGGTTGGATGGCTTGAAGGTATGTTTCGATTCGATTGTATTTGTGCACGAAGTCCTTCACGTCTTTGGGTTGCAGTGACAGGAGCTGGAGTCCGATGTCCACTGTTGTTGGGTTTTGTTTGAGGCCTTCGATCATGTCGTCTACTGTTGCGCTCTGTTTGGCGATGTCGGGGTAGCGAGCCGCGATCATTTGCGCCCTAATGGTCTCATGGCGTTGGATGTATTCATGGATTGATTGGCCTGGTTCGATGTGGCACTGTTCCGCTAGTTGTTTTAGGTACAGGTGGTCACTCGCATTTGTTGTGTCGAGATGAGCTTTGAGCTTCTCGAGGATGTCGTGTGGTGTGGGGTTTTCGTCTGGCATAAGAAGGAGGTTGATGATGTCCGCTGGTATTGTGGCTAGCATTTTGCCCAAGAGTTTGTGCTTGGCGTGGAGGTAGGATTTTCGTTCCTGCTCGCCGTCTGGGGTGGGCGGGTTGCCCTCGATATGTTCGATTGCATCTTGTGTGTAGGCTGCGGATTTTATGGCCAGGAGCCATGGTCCATAGTTAGATCGGTCGAGCTTGGGGATATCCTTAATGTCCATGGTGGTGAGCGTGTGAGATCGTTGGTGCCTGGGAGGAGGGATGTAGAGAAGGGCTGCTGGATGCAGGAGGTTGGGTGTTGATGAGGATTCGGAAAGGGGGCGGCGGGGGCGGGTTGTGATGCCTGTCTTTCCGGCTCGTCTGTTTGCAGACGCTCGACGGCTGCGAGTGCGTGTAGCGCGATCCAGTTTGCGTTCAGTTGATGTTGTGTCGTAGTGGTGCGAAGCAGGCCATAAACTGATGAATCGTAATCCTCATGGGGGTGTCTTTACTCGTCGTCGCC